TGGGGAACATGGCTGAATGGACACCTCTGCCGGGCCAGTATTCAAGAGAAATGCAAACACCTTGACAGTAGACGCTCAAGAGATGCAATGTGCCCATACCTGGTACATAGAAGGCCCTCAAAAGAAGATGCAATAACCATGCTAAGAACACAGGGGGTGCTTAATAAGTAAATAACTAATCCTGTTCTCATCCAACATGCCACAGAGGCCCACGGCGATGGCTGCACTCTCTGGTCTCACACCCTCATGGGCACTCTCAAGCCTATGTGGCCAGGCCCTGTCCACCTCCTTGTCGTCCTGGTGATCCTGCCTACCCTGTTACAGCCACCCTGGCCCTCTGTGGCTCTTCTAGTACACCAGGCTCAGCCAGGCCTTGCAACGCTCCTGCCTCGGGTCTCCTTGGAGCACTGGACATTACCTCATGACTCCTTAGCGATCCTGCTGTCCCCTGCTGTCCCTGCTGTTCCCTGGAGCCCCTTGCATTTCTTTTAGAGCCAGAATAATGAGAGAGTTCACCCACTTCCTAGCTTGTTTGTTTCTGGTAGCCCTGAGGGGCAGAGACCACGCAGGCACCTGGCCCTGAGGAGTAGGATCTTCTCTGGCGCCTGCTCACCTGCCTCTCCCAGGACAGACCCCAGACTACCCATGTCCGAAGGCCCAGTCTCTCATTCTCCTTGGGCCTTGCTTTACTCCAGGGCAGAAGCAAGAACTGAGGGTGGAAGGGAAGCAGGGTCAGACCACAGGGCAAGAAGTCATAGCTTCCTGGGCCAGGTGAGGCAGGGTGATGACCTGGCCCTCGGGCTGCTGGATTGACTGTACTGGACAGTGAAGGACCTGTTGTGGTGGCTAGGACAGTGACCCCAGGGAGACATGTGTGTCTATCCTACACAACACTTGGAGCCTCATTCAGAAATAAAGGTCTCCACAGATCGATTAGAATAAGGGGTTGGAGGCAGGGTCACCCTAGGTTATCGGGGTGGCCTGGAAGTGTCCAAACTGAAGGGATGCCACCACAGCTAAGGGCACCTTGAGCAAAGGTGGCAGGGTCCAGACCTGTGGGCACTTGACTGGAGAAGTACTCCGGAAGGGGCTGGCTCTGCACTGAGATGTGGGCAGAGGGGCTGTCTCCATGCCATCCACAGTGTGATGGGTGCTGACAGGATACCCACAGACCAGCAAACACTTTGCATCTTACCTGAGCATCTTACACCAGCTTATGTGTGCATCTTACCTGAGGATCTCAGGTTTTGGTACCCATGAGGGTTCCAGAAGCCATCCTCATAGCCAGGAAGGGATGGCATGTACAGCAGGGATTCTTAAAGCAGGAGGTGGGCTCAACCCACCCTCAGGCAAGTCACAGGGGAATCCAGGTCACAGATGGGAAGGGTGAGGAAGTAAGGGCAGTGTGACCTGGCTAAGGTCATTAGTCAGCCCCTGGGAGTCTACTTCAGACGTGTGCAGCACGCACAGGTCTCCTAGCCAGCCCCCTCCACCACAGACAACACACACACATCACAGATACAACACACACAAACACATCACACACCCCCACACATATCACAGACACACACCACATACACATATCCACACACAAACACACCACACATATACACCACAGACACACCACACACACACATATATATCATAGACACATACCCACACACATCACACACACACACACACACATACATCACAGACATACACCACACACACACACACACACACACACACACACACACACACACACGCTTCTGGCTTTCCCTCCTCACGTCCAGGCTTCCTGAGACTGACACTGTCTCTGCTTCTGTGTCCCCCAAGCCCCCATTCTGTCCCTCCCACCCCTAGTTCTCTGGGCCTCTAACATTTGCAGCCTCCTTTCCCTGGCACAGTGACCCTTCCTGCCTCCTGGGGCCTGGACAAAGTATTGTTTTATTTTCTTCCTTTCTTATCTGGGACAGCTAGAAGCCGGCTAGCAGTCAAAGACTTCCAGGCTGGCTGGGGACATTTCCAGTCAATCTGCAGCAGATCCTCCTGCAAACACAGCCCGAGGCCCTTTTCTGGCAGAACAGAGCTGAGGAAGATTGAGATAAAACCTGTAGGAGGAGGACCAATGCCCACAGCCCCACCCCTCCTGCCTACAGCTCTGAGGCGTCAGGAAGCACCCACCCATAAGACAAATATTTAAGTGAAGTCCTGAGTGAAAGGGGTGTGTGTTCAGATTCTCCAGTTGGAAGCCTCTGAAGGCAGTTTGGGAGAAAGGACTTGGTTGTCACGCACCTGAGCCACGCGAAGCCCGGGTGTCACACCCCTGGTTTCAGTGTGCCTTGTCCACCCAGAATCCCTTTCTCAAAGGTGAGAAGGAAGGAGGACAGGGGGCACTGGCCCGCCCAAGGTCAGCATCTGGGAGGAGGTGAGCTGGGACACCCTCAGCACACAGTAGGACACCTTGGCACCCAACAGATTTACAAGTGCTTACCCACTGTGTACCAGCAGGCTGCTGGTGGCTCACTCTGCCTCAGAACAAGGGCAGGCTCCCCTCACAGGACAGAAGGAAACTAAGATCTAAGAATGGGTTGAACCAGCCATGCCTGCCACACAGCAGAGGCCAAGCATCAGTGGGAGGGACCAGGAAGCCCACACTAATTCGGTGTGGCCGCGTATTTATACTGCTGGGGGTTCCTCTGTGACAGTGAGGGGCCTGAACTCTATATCAGTCACTCATTCACTTGGGAGGCCACCAGGCTTGCCTCTGTATGAACATGCTCCACAGGCACAGAGATTTGAGGCAGTATCCAAAGTTACACAGTACCTGAAAGATTGGGACAGAGGGCAGGGAACAGAGCCAGTGTCCCCGAGAGAATCCTGGGAAGCAGGGCACAGAGGAATGGTCAGGGTCAGAGGAAAACAAAGATGGAAAAACTGAGACATAGAGAAAGAAAGAGATTGTCTTCCTTCCTTATGTCAAGTAGTACCTTTCAGGGGATGGGTGGGGCTCTGTCTTATGAACTCAAGACCTGAAAGAGTTTAGACCCCATACAAGGAAACGCCCATGACCAACCTCCTGCGTGGCTTCTGGCCTGGGCGAGCCCCTGCCTAGTTTCTCTGTGCCTCAGGTCAGTGGAGGAGAGTTGAATCCCTGCCTCTCTGGGGCAGTTGTGAACTCTGGGGGACCACACTGTGAGGAGGTTCCACTCAGGATTCCCTCGCCCAACACTGGTCCCCTCATGGCCACTGGTTCGGGAGACACAAGGAGCTAGCTGAGCCCCGTGCCTGGTCTCATACGCTCCTGAGAACTGGGTCAGCTGAGCCCAGGGCAGAGGCCAGCTCTCTGAAGACACATGGCCCTCTAGGTAAGTTCAATCCTGGTTAGTGACGTGATGAGTGTCCCCAAAGTTATCAAAGATCCAAGAAACCTCTTATCTCCCAGCCAGACCTCCCTCACCTTGCTGGACACGCCATGCCAACACCCTTCCTTCCCCAGGCCTGCCTGACACCACCTGCTCAGCTTCCATTTCCCAGGTCTCATGGGCCTGAAAGGAGACAGCATGGAACCCGGTAGCTGGGCCTGAGCACCCAACCCTCACCAAGCCTGAGTTCCCAGGCCAGCACGACAAACCACGGCCCCCCTAAGGCTCTCCCCCTCAGAAAACACTCAAGATCTCACTTTTGTTCAATGGCAAACAGACAACAGCCAAGACCACTTGGTCACCCTGGGAGGGCATGGGGAGAGCGAGCGAGCAGGTGTCAAGTAAGCTTGCCTAAAAATAGAGATGTGAGCATGTGTTGTGGGGGCTGCAGTGTCCCCAAGCAGCCCTGTTCACAGACAAGAAGCCTTGAGTTGATTCCCCATTAGCAACAAGGAGCGGGTATTGCACCTCCAGGGTGGCCAACCCAGCCTTCTACTTCCCATCAGGGTTCTGGGGCCACTCTCACTGACAGGGAAAAAGTCCTTCCCTGCCTGCTGCTGCAAGTCAGCCCCTCCCAGGAGTCCAAAGGGACCTTCCCAGGGTAGCCCTGCTATTTTAAACCACACACATCCCCAGCTTACAAGATCAGGGGCCTCGGAGTCCTGCTGCCTCTTTCTGAGGGATGAGAACCTCTGTTGGCTGCGAACGGAGAAGCGACGGAAGGATTCTCGACTCCGAGACGCCAGGTGTCGGAAGGAGGAGGTACGCTTAAATGGGGTGCGGCCAGCATTCTCCCCACTCCGCTCAGTGCCCACCGTGGCTGTCACAGCGTGCAGGGCCTCTTGAAAGGATCGTCTCACTGTGCCCACCCACTGAGTCATGTGTGACTGGGCCACTGAGAGTTTGTCACCCAGGTAATCCATGTGGCCAGCCTGGAGGAGGGGGCAGGCAGAGGCAGTCAGGAGACCAGCGCTGCCAGGGTCCTGGTCCCTCTGTCAGTGGTAGCCGTCCTTGGGAAGAAGTTCTGGGCTTCCACGGAAAACCCGGTAAACCTGGCAGAGCACGTCAGCCCCAGTAAAGTAAACATGGCCCAACAAGCATCCCCGGTCACAAAAAAAAAAAAAACCAAAAAACGGGGACAGTGACAGGTCAGCAACGGGTCACCAGCAAGAGCATCAAGTTAGCCAATCAGGACGTCCACTTCTAGTCGCCAGGGCCAATGCTGCTGGATTCAAGGAGCAGGTGGCTATGAGAAGCAGGGCAAGGGGGCTGGCACCCCAAACTCTCTTCCCTCCACAAAGGTAGACCTCTCATGCACACCTGGGAGCCGCCACACAGACTGCCTGTCCCAGGCAGGTTCTTCTCACCTGAACCGGGCGGATCTACAGTCCTCAAGTCAGACTTAACCCGAAGCTGAATCTGATGACCAGCAGGCAGCGCACTCACTTCCGGAGGGAGGCAGCCACCCGGCCTGGGTCCCCTGGCCCGGCAGCCCAGAATGACATCAGCTCTGTCTTGGCGAGGGGCGCCGTCCCAAGAATGCAGGAGGGGCCTCCGGAGGTGGCTGCCTGGGAGCGGGCGTTAGCCCGTCAACTCGCTCGCTCGCTGTCCCTCGGGGACCTCATGTGCCAGACTGCCTACCCACCGCAGTCGGCACTGTGCAGAAGCGCTGCTGTTGGGCGTGCGGCTGTGTGCAAGTGAGTGTGCGCGCATGTAGGGGCCTGTGCGTAGGAGGCGCGGCTGCCCCGGGGAAGTGGAGGGGTGCTGGATCTGGCTGCGTGCGCCTCTGGGGCTTCAGGTGGAGTCTGAGGACCTGTGGCTGGCTGTCGATCTGTCTCCCTCTCCTGGTAGCCTTCTGCTTCCTCTCCCTGCATCTGACTTACACTTGCTGAGCTCCGGGATAAACTCCCTCCACAAGCCCCTCCCCTCGTATCCTCTCAGTTGCCCTTGCTGCCTCTCCAGGAGGGCGGGGATGCAGAGGACTGGCCCTGAGTTCCCCCAGAAGGATGGATCTGGGTCTGAGGTGCCTGCATTTTGGTACAGGCAGGGTTACCATGGCAACTTGGGGGCATAGCATCTGCCCCTTCCCCACACTGGGCACAGGAATCACGGGGATGATTCATGTGTTCAAGAAATCACATGAGCTCATTGGGTTTAACCCTTAAGGGACGGAGCATGGTTGGGGAGGGGGGCGGTTATAAAATAGAAGAGGGTGAAGACTGGACAGGGTGGGGCATCAGTGCAGTGGGATTCTGGACCCTCCTGTCAGGATCTATACCCCTCTCCGTCCCTTCTACAGGTGAGGAAGTGCCAGCTCCGAGAGATGGATTCACTTGTCGGAGGTCACACAGCAAGAAGGTTATCAAGATTTGCTTGGAACGGCTCCCTCTGCACTGCTGTGTGCTGATCTGACCCAAACCTGGCCCACCGTGAGGGCTCAAAAACATTGACTTTTCAAATGCCAGGCCAAATTCAAGGTCGAAATCACATCGCAACTGCCTGGTGCGATCTCTGCGCCACCCCTCGCTCTGTCCTGAGTAAATATTTGCTCTCTAGACGCCAGCCTTGCCAACACAAGTTTATCTCAAAGGCCTCTCTGATGGCGTGTGCAGACCGAAGGTCTAGAATCCCACATTCTCCTTCGTCCAGCTTTCCGCTCCTCATGCCAAGCCTCAGGGGCCCAGCATCTCTCATTCACTCAGTAGTGAGATTGCGTGCACCTCCCCTGGCCCAGGCACATGGCCATGTGGTATTCTCGAGGGTCACAGGGACCTACCATGGCTACTGATTGACACTACATCTCCTAAATCTGATGACTCTTCAAAACTCTTCTTCAAGGGGTGACTGAGGCCCAGAGAGCTGAGGCACATACAGGGTTGTGTGTGGAGGGCTACCTCTCAGAGGACCCCCGAGGATTCCCGTTTATTCTTACACTGGGAGTACCCCTCCCACAGTCTAGCAGGGCTGATCCCCGAGCTCAGCACAGTAAGGATGGCTCTCCTGGTGGCTCTGGGGCATGCCAGTGGCAGACATGTTGGATGCTCAGGTGGAGTCATAGAAAGGCCCACAGGGAAGAGACCAGGGTTCCATGCTAGCACCACGGCTGGCCACTGGATGGAGACAGGTACCCATCCCCAGGACAAGAACAAGATAGGACAAGAACCCTGGCCGACTTCCTGAATCTCTCTCATGAAGACATGAAGCTTAGCTACTCAGCCAAGCTGCCCTCAGGCTCCTGGCCAGGATCTGGTGCACAGGGAACTGCGGGTGAAGAGAAGTTGGCTCACCACAGAGGGAGGGCCTCTGACTGAGGTGAGACTATGTGTCCAGCAGGTGAGATGACACCCCAGCCTGCATCCCTGCATGTAGACGAGGAAGCATCCCAGAGGAGGCCGGTCCCCACCTCCATCTGTGCCTGGCTCCATACCCCTAAAGGCTGCTGCACCTACAGTCGGGGCTTCTGGCCTCCGCACGGAATTCACAACAAACCCCTGCCTCCCCAGGTACCTAGGGATATGTAGGGGCAGGAGGGGACAGATTGTGGCTGCTGACCCCACAGTTCATGAAGGACACCATGTAAGATATCGGCCTCAGAAGGGAGAACACACAGCAGCTGGATGCTACCATTGAGTCCTCCCTGGCTGTCCTGGAACTCACTCTATAGACCAGGCTGGCCTTGAACTCACGGAGATCCACCTGACTCTGCCTCCTGAGTGCTGGGATCAAAGATGTGTGCCACCACCGCCTGGTTGTCATAAAGTGTTCAAGTAGGAACAAGAAGTCAGGTGCTCAGCCAAGAGAGGTAGATAGGCTGGTGGCTGGGGGCTGGGGGCTGGGGGTTGCGGATCCAAGGGTGGAGGAGGGCTCCGTCACACTGACCTTACCTTTTCCAGTATTGATTCTCTTTCTTCATGGGATTTTGCTTTGATTTTTAAAAATATGCTCATTTAAAATATCATTTATCTAGTTCTGTTGTTTCCTGGCATCACGAGCCTTACCCCAGCCCCTCCACAGGTTGAATCAGTTGTGTGCCCCTGAACAAGTAACTGAATCTCTGATTTCTTTCACAGAAGAAACCACCGAGCGTATGCTTGTCATGGATGCGATTGGTTCACTCTCTTCCGGCCCCTACTTCTAGAGGATGCACTTGGCCTTCTGCCCATGATCCCAGTTATGCCATCCCTAGAACACTGTCTGACTCAGAGCTATACACAGGGGCTCACCCCAATGACTAGCCAGAGGAGAACTCAAAACCCAGGCTCCCTGTATGCAAGCAATCTAAGCCAGACACACTAGAGGCAGGACTCAGCAGACACCTCTGTGTCCTCACTTCTGTCCCTGCTCCAGTCTGTGGCCCGGCCTCCTCCACGCTTCACTAGAGAGTTAGCCACCAGCATACAGATCCCTACCTATTTCTGCATACACACACCATCATCACTGTCCACTGAGCACCAGCTGTGGGCAAACACCAGAGCACCCTGTCCCATTCCATGTATCACAACACCAGCGGGTAACGGTGCCATTGTAACGCAACACTGTGTGACACCACAGTGTTACGTCATTACATCATCATACACACCACCATGTTGTCTCACTGTCACACCTCACAGATGGACAGTGCAGGGCAAGGAGAAGTGGCATGACCAGCCCAGTGTCACACAGCTGTAAGTGGTGGAGCTGCCACATGGCGCAGGGAACACAGCAGACCCCAGCATACAGCCTCCTTCGGAGAGAGAAGCAGAAGACAGTGGGGAGCCAGATGCCTGCTGCTCTCTCTGGCTTCCAGTGGTACCACGTGCTCCAGGAGCGGGGCTATAAAAAGCGTCACTCCTGAATCTGGGGCAGCACAGGCGTGCCCCCAGAGGGCTGCTTCTGCAAATGCTATTCTCTCCAGGAAACTCTGGGGACACCGCAGGCATCATGAAAGCAAACCTTCCCGGCACAAGGAATTTGCAGAACGGGGAGCTGTGCGGACCCAGAAGGGACTGGGGGTGCCAACCACAGTGTGAGGTGGGGCAGAGAGCCCACAGGTCTCAAGAAGGGAAGATTTTGCCATTCATTCACTCAACAAACACTCCCTGAACAGTTGGATATTCTACAAGCATCGAGCTGACATAGAGCAGCTCAACCTATCTCTCTGAATCTGAAGTAGTAAAGAAAAAGGGGCCCCTATAGGTCACCTCAAGTCTGGGCAGCACCACTCCTTCCCAAATCTGGCTCAAGCATACACCCTCAAAATTGCCTGGTTTAATGGAAGAAAATGCCAAAAGGAACAGCAGATGTGTCTGTGACCCCAGAGCCAGGGGCTGATGCAGAACTAGGGACAGAAATAGAGACACGGAGCCCAAACGAGAAGCACACTGCTGGGCGAAGAGGAAAGGCTATAGTGAGGGGGAGGGAAATCCAGGAGGGGTTCAGATGGATGAATAGGAGTGCTTCCGGTACTGAATGGGGAATGGCCAGCAAGTGCGGCCATATTTCAGTCTTGACTCTGGGAGGCTTGCACACCACATCCACTCATCTATCCCTTCCTAGAGTTAAAGCTGCCTTCTCTTCTCCCTCCTAGACTTGCTCTGTCTCACAGCCTGAGGCTGCTTCCCACTCTGCCCAGGAGGTCTCACTCTCTCTCCTCACCCAGGCTAAGGAAGCAGACTATTACTGTGCTGATAAGAAAGCTGTAATCAAACGTAAAGCCTTTCTCAAGGGTGTTCACGGTGGGCGTGGGAGCTGAGTCTCATTTCAGGTAACCCTCAGAGCAACAGCGCTGAGCTAGTCCTTCCCAGTCAAGCAGGGCGGTGAGGTGAGGAGAGAGAGCTCTGGTGAGTGGGACTTGAGGCTCAATTCCAGGCCCCTCTGGTTCTCATACCTTCACTGCCTCTTTCCCTTCCAGGGCAAGTGTCAGAAGTCACACATCTTATTAGACCTTCCAAAGGGCCCATCTGTCCCCAAGTCCTTTTTATGACTGTGGTCACTGGCTCCCTGTGAAGCCAGTCAGGAGCTATCCCCTAGCCCCCCCTTACCCGCCCCTCCCCCTTACTCACCCCTCCCCCTTACCTGCCCCTCCCCCTTACCTGCCTCTCTCCCTTACCTGCCCCCCTTACCAGTCCCTCCCCCTTACCCATCGCCCCACCCCTGTCCAGCTAACCGCCTGGAGATGAATCCCCAGGTCCACCCGAGGAAGGTGCGTGAAGCCGGAGAAGACCGTTTCCTTCCCCCCCGGATGGAGCTTTGTGTAGGCCTGACCCATAACTCGGAGTCTCTTCCAGACCAGCTCACTTAGGCTCAGTCCCTGCTCCCTCAAGAGAGGCTGTGAGGATGTGTGACTTGCTTGGGAGCATCCCTGCCAATATAAGCCAGCACCACATAAAATAGCAACGGAGGAGAGGGGAGTCAGCCTTGGACCCAACACTCAGGGAGTGGAGGCAAGAGGATCAGGACTTCAGAGTCATCCTTGGTTACATGGGGAGTTTGAGGCCAGCCTGGGCTAATGTGGTGGGGCTAAGCAAACCCAGAGGGTTTGCCCTAACACAAAGCAAGTCCTCCAGGAGGTGGGGGGTCCCAAGAGATTGTCACTAGTCTAGTCTTAGCTCATCATCTTGTTCACACACCTCCCGAGACCCTAGACACCATCTCAGAGACAGGCACACATGCAATGCTGTCCTGGGCCCCATGGAAACTGCGTTGGATGGCTACTCCATGTGGCAGATGCCTGTGGCCCACACTTTGATAACCTATGACTCCTCTCATCCACGCATCTCCTCCTTGCTCTGGACACACTGGACAAGCCTCCATCTTAGGACACGCCACACCATCCATGCCCTTTCTCCTCCATACGTATGCCATGCTGTTCCCTCTGCCTGGGACACCCTTCCGCCCCGTTCACTCCTGGTCCAAGATCAGTATGTGCTGTCTAGACACCCCTCCTCTGAGAAGCCTCCCTCAAACCACTAAGCATACTGGGCCATGACTCAGTTTACCAACTAGTTGCTGAGTCCAGTTGGGCTGCATCTGGCTCACCCAGCACCCTCACAGGCCCTCCCCATGCCAACCATGTAAACAGGAACAACTGAGGACTGGGCCAGCACACAGAGCCCCCAGCATCCCTAGGCCAGTTTCCATAGCAACAGGAAAAGAATTCTGATAAGGGGGAAGCTACAGCATCTTGGCCTCCACCTTCAAGTCCACCCAAGTTATTTATAACCAAGCTGAGCACGTGGCCACTTCCTTGTGTTGATTTATTCACGTTCTCCAGCCGTCATTTCGGAGGCACGCTGTTAATTAACTTGGGTGAGGGAGGGGATCACCCAGAAAGGAGAGCTTTCGAGAAACAAGCAGAGGCGTGCACCATCAGGCTTCAGTGGAAAGCAGCATTTCCCCCCACTGTTGAGAGCTGGGGTGTGGCCTTGTTGTGGGGATGCTCCCTCACTGGGGAGCCCAGCACAGATGAGGTCTTCAAACGCAGCCCACCTGCCCTCTGTGAACTGCACACCAGTCTTCTGTCCACCCGCAACAGGATGTCAGGGTTTTAAGTCAGTGAAGAAGGACCCACAGGCAGGACTGCG